AAGAGTATAGTATCAGATGAAGCCTTTCTCTCAACCTCATCCCTATGGAAGCTCTGCATCCTCAAAGCATACCTTCAAAGATTGGCAACAGGATACATTTTTGTACATTTTTGAGTTTACTCCACCTGCAGGCAAAGGAGGTGGATATGGGTACTTCCACACCATGTCAGTCATTTGTAAATGTGTAAAGTAGGGGGAGGCAAAAACTCCTAGGAGCTTCTAGTCCATGATACTGACAAAATGACTCCATTACCTAAAGAGAAAGCCCTGGTAGAAAAGCATAGTGGGTTATATATTGGGCTGCTGACTACATTGTCTACAGTTCTTGAGTCCAGCAGGTGCTACATGGGAGAAAGCTGTGGCTTTCTGCTCCAGTACAGATTTACAGCCTTGGAAACCCTATACAGGTAGCCATGAATCAGAACTGACTCAATGGTGCACAGCCAGCCAGCTCAAAGAGAATTACCTGAATGTCTCAAGTGTAAACCCTTATCAGAAAAGCATATAGAAACAGATCAAAAAGATCTGAACAGGTCACCAACAGGACTCAGTAAACCCTAGTTCCACCCCTAACCATTAAATAAGGTATAATGGTAGTCATCAAAGATTTCTCAGTTTAAAGATTTTATTGTTTCCCATTTCATGACAGATCTTCAGAACAATTTTAGGATTGTTATTAAGTGCCATCTAATAGGTTCCAACTCATAGCAATCTTGTATAGGTTTTCCAAGGAGTGGCTGGTGAGTTTGAACTGCTGTGTGGTTCAAACTGACCTTTGTGGTATAGTGCTCTATGCCATAGCACTACATCAGGACTCCATTTTTTTTTTTTTTTTTAACTTTAGGATAGAAGAACAATATTATCCTTATTTTTCAAAACAGTCAAAAGAAAGGTGGCTTTCCCTGCATCTTTGTATTGTGAGCCTAGAGCTTATTCTAGTTTGGTGCATCATATCTAAGAGTTTTGTAAACATTTCATGTAATTCTGTGGATTACACATAAATAAGAGTTATGTAATCTGAGTGAAGTATTTTGACACCTTTTATAACTTAAAAATACATGGACTGTTACAGGAATAAGCTTCATTTCAGTTTTATAATCATTTGCATATAGTCATCTAACATTATTTAAAAAACAAGTGTGTTAAGCAAAAAGTTCCATATTAAGATTATAGTTTAGTTTGCATCATTTAAGGCTTCCCCCGTGTTTTATTACTCAGATGGCCTAATTAGAGACAGTGTGAATGAAACATATTAAAAAGTTCTTTAGAGGTTTATTTATTTAGAATATACTTGGAGTTCTTCCATGATTTTCCCATATGGGTGTATTTGCATATAATACTTATGACTCATAACATTTCTACCAAAATATGAATAGTTTTTGAAACATGTTCCAGGAACTATTGCAATCTGTTATTGCCACATGAGACCCTTTCTGTTTCTAGTTTAAGAATTACTTTCCAATAAAGAATCTTCTAGTTCACTAGTCACTTACCAATAAAGAATCATTTACCATTAGTGAAGCTCTCAATGATATAGTAAATTCAGAGAAGTTGAGAACAGGGATTTACTCAGAATGAAACAACAGCTCCTGTTGATTACCCTCCTGTTACTTGAAATCTTTATCTTTCCTTGTTGTTGTTATGTGCCGTGGAGTCGGTTCCAACTCATAGTGACCCTGTACAGGGTATCCGAGGCTGCAAATCTTTACAGGAGCAGAAAGCGTCATCTTTCTCCCGTGGAACAACTGGTAGTTTTGAACTGCTGACCCTGAGGTTTGCAGCCCGATTCATAACCATTACACTAACAGAGCTCCTTCCTGGATGATCTAAAACAGAGCTTTTCAAGTCTGTTGTTGTTGTTATGTGCCGTGGAGTTGGTTCCGACTCATAGTGACCCAGCACAGGGTTTCTGAGGCTGTAAATCTTTACGGGAGCAGAAAGCCTCATTTTTCTCCGCGAAGATCTCGTAGTTTTGAACTGCTGACTGTGAGATTAGCAGCCCAATTCATAACCACTATGCTACCAGAGCTCCTTTTTCAAGCCAGGTAGCTTTAAAATCACCTGAAGAGTTTTAAAATATGCAGATGCCTTGGATCTGCCCCAGGAATTTTAAGTCTTACTCACAGTCATTTAAAGTTCCTCATGTGAATCTGTTAAACAAACCAGGGTTGAAAACCACTGATATAAAACAGAGAAATGTGACAGATTCATTGGTGTCAGGAAAGGATTTGACCACCTCTCACATCTTGGCAATTGGTTTTCTTTTCCATTTAAGTTGTTAAACTCTCCGGTATATATAAAATAAAACATTATATATAGATGATAAATTCTCAACACAAATGTCAGTTTGAACCACAAGGTCAGTGTTCAAACTCACCAGCCACTCCTTGGAAACCTTATACAGGGTTGCTATGGATTGGAGCTGACTCAACAGCATTTAACAACAACAATTTTAATTCTAATTGTTCTTGAACATTTCATGATATTAGATTGAAGTTGAGAGGGATTATATATCCCACATAGAGTCACTGTACCAAAGGTAAATGGTCACTGTTCAAGCATTTCAAGAGGTAGCTTATGATCAAGAACCAATGGTACTTAAGGGAGAAGTCCAAGATTCACTGAAGGCATTGGCAAAGGCGAAGGCTCCAGGAATTGATGGAATACAAATTGAAATCTTTCAATAAACTGATGAGGCACTGGAGTGACTCACTTATCTATGCCTGGAAATTTGGAAAATAGCTACCTAATTGGCAACTGATTGGCAGAGATCTGTTTGTGCCCATTCCAAAGAGAGGAGATCCAACAGAGTGCAGAAATCATCTGACAGTATCCTTAATATTTTACATGCAAGTAAAATTTTGCAAAAGGTAATTCAAAATTGGTTTCAATAATACATTAACAGGGAACTGCCAGAGGTTCAAGACAGATTCAGATGAGGACTTGGAAACCGAGATACCACTACTGATATCAAGGGGATCTTGGCTGAAAGCAGAAAATACCAAAAAGGTGTTTAGCTATACTTTATTGATTATGCAGAGGCTTTCAATTGTGTGGATCATGACAAGCTATGAACAGCATTGCAGAGAATGCAGATTCTGGAACAATTCATTATATGCATTGGTTATCTATATATATAGACCAAGAGGTAGTTGTTAGAACAGAACAAAGGAACCTTGAATGCGCTATAATTAGGAAAGGTGTGTGCCTGTGTTGTTTTCTTTCATCATAAATATTCAATCTGTATGCTGAACAAATTATTGGAGAAACTGGATTATATGAAGAAGAACGTAGCAACAGAATTGGAGGAAGATTCATTAACAACATGCAATATTCAGATGATACAGCCTTGCTTACTGAAAGTGAAGAAGACTTAAAATCCTTACTGATGAAGATCAAAGACCATAATGTTTGGTATGGGTTGCATCTCAATGTAAAGAAAACAAAAATTCTCACCACTGGACCAATAAATAACATCAAGATAAATGGAGGTTGAAGTTGTCAACAACTTCATTTTTCTGGTATCAACCATCAACACTCATGGAAGCAGCAGTCAAGAAATCAAATGACATATTGCATTAGGCAAATCTGCTGCATAGGACCTTTTAAGTGTTGAAGAGCAAAGATGCCAGTTTGAGGATTAAGGTACGCCTGACCTAAGTCATGGTATTTTCAAATAACCTCATATTCATGTGAAAGTCAGACAATAAATAAGGAAGACTAGAACATTACATGCATTTGAGCTATGGTATTGGAGAATATTAATAGTATCATGAACTACCAGGAGAGCAAACAAATTTGTACTGGAAGAAGTATATTGTGAATGTGCTTTAGAAGCCAGAGTTGCTAGACTTCATCTCTCATGCTTCAGATATATTATCAGGAGGGACCTGTCACTGGAGAAGGACATCATGCTTGGTAAAGTGGAGGGTCAGAGAAAAAGAGGGAGACCCCCAATGAAATGGATTGGTACAATGGCAGCAGCAATGGGCTCTGGCATAGTGATGATTGTGAGATTGGAATAGGACTGGGCAGTGTTTCATTCTGTTGTGTATAACGTGTCTATGAGTTGGTACTGACTCAACGACATCTAACAAAAACAACAACATGTATCCCCTGGGTCTAGATTTTATTTATGTATTGATATATATTTTGAAATTATCGTAGGGGAAGGATATGTCAGGTTTGAAGTAACAAACTTCAGTGACAACCTTCAGGGATATTTTAAAGTTCAACAAAATTATAGATAATGCTTTAATTATCTTAATATCTAGATTAGCTGTAGGTTTGATGGGTGGCATATAGAGGGTATTGAGAAAATTTTTGTTTTAAAAAGTCTTCATGCTACCTGTCATAATTAAAGAAAAAGAAAAAATGTTGATTTGAAATTAAAACCAATATTAAACTATTTCATATTTGATTCCTTAAAATATACTATGAGGTTTGAGTATATTGTTGTTGTGACCTGCCGTCAAGTCAGTTCTGATCTATAGTGACCCTGGATAAGGTTTCCAAGGAAAAGCTGGTGAGCTTGAACCGCCTACCTTGCAATTCAAACTGACTTTGCAGTCCAGCACTTTAATCCACAGCTCCACACCAGAAGGTTTATGTATAGTAACAAATAAAAAGCATGTTGAAGTTACAAATTTATAAATAATAAATTTTCATTGTGAATATCTTACTAAATTTTAACACTTGAGAGCTACTTTATTCCTTTGGGCCCCATAAAATAATTTTTAATTATCTTTTTGGTAAAAGTTTACAAGTGAAATACTGAGGAAAAGTATGATTTTAAAATAAAAATCTATATGAATTAAATTGACCATGTGATAAATTTTTATATCATTTAAAAATAATATAAGCTAATGACTTTTCTGTTTAATTACATATTATATTCATATAACTTTATATCATTACTCTATTATGAAAACATTATAGTTCCACAATGATGTAATGGTCTATAATGCAGTCAAATGCGTCTCACAAATGACTATTCTCAGTTCCTTGGCAGTACAGAAGTGGAGCAACCCAAAGGAACGGAAGTTGTGAGAGATGCTGTGAGGAAGCTGAAGGTAAGGAGACTCTGCCAAGTAAGCATGCAGTGTATTGATCTGGCCTAAAACATCAAAAGGCTGATGAAAAGTCAAAGCATGAATAGCTCTGTGGCAGGTACAGCTTCACTCGTTAGAAAAGCAACTGTTAACTAAATATAGTCAAATCAAGGAAAAACCTTTAGTAATAAATATGGGCACACAATACATCATTTTTTTCCCTGAATTTAGTACACTATTCGTATTTTTCTTAGATGTAATTTCTCGTGCTGAACAAAAAAATCATGTCGTGAAGTGTCGAAGTGCAGTTGCTTGGCTTTACTCTACTTGAACTCAAAAAGGTACTAATAGTGCCACAATGATTCCTAATCGTTAATATAGCCACAGAGTGAAAGTGCTGGGTAGCGGTGACTTCAAGAGAGAATTCAGCAGTGAAAACGTGTCTTAAAAGTGTCCTAATGTGCAAGTTGAGCCCTGGTCGCGCTGTAGGATGAACAGTTGACAGTTAAGTGCAAGTTTGGCAGTCCAAATCTACCAACTGCTCCTTGAAAACCCTATACAAGGTGTATATGAGTTGGAACCAACTTGACAGCACACAACAACATCAATGGGCAAGTGCAAGATGTGTCCATGTTCACGAGCCACCAGGTGACAGTGGCTAGTTACTCGGTCTCAGAAAGCGGAGAAGTTATTTAAAAATCTAACATACTCACATCTACAAATTTCCTGAGAAAATCATCCATAAGCTGGCACACAGTATGTTTTTCATATTACACTCCATCTCAAAGGACAAGGACTCTCACTGAAAGCTCCTTCAATGTAATTATCATCATTCTTTACCTTAAAAAGTATTTGCTGTTAAGCACCATGGAGTTGGTTCTGACTCATAGCAACTCTGTATAAGGTTTCTGAGGAGAGCCCGGTGAGTCTGAGCCACTGACAGCATGGTTCAAACCAATGCTAATCCTGCAGTGCCACACCATGACTCCTTCCAATGCATCCCTTTATTTTTATTTATACAATTAAATATTTTTCTCTATAGGTGGTCTCATAATTTGTTTGGGGAGCAATCCTTTTCCTACTTGACTTTAGTTTAGATATTATCCAATTATTTAAACTGTTTTTAGTTTAGAGATCATTCAATTATTCCACAGAAAGTGATAGGCCTCTAACTGGCAAACATGAGCCAAAGTCATGTACATTAAAAAATACGAATTAGCTTTGAAATTGCGTATCAGGTTGAATCTACTACTTAAATTAAGGAAAAATCAAGTAGAATGACTTGTGTTTTGCGTAAAGAAATCAAACTAGGCAATATTTTTATCCATATGATTAATAGGCAAAATAGTTTATCTAATCTTTAAATTAATTATGTTAAAAGGTTCCAAGATGAGACATCACCATTTTGGAGAGGGTAGAGAAGTAGACTAACCTACCATTTATCTCCATTACTTGTTAAGTAAGAATTCAGACTTGCTTTTATTTGTCATTTTTTTAAGCACAAATGTTGTTGTTGTTGTTAAGTGCCGTCGAGTCGGTTCCGACCCATAGCGACCCTGTACAGGGTTTCCGAGGGTGTAAATCTTTACGGGAGTAGAAACCTCATCTTTCTCCCGCGGAGCGGCTGGTAGTTTCGAACCGCTGACCTTAAGGTTCACAGCCCGATTCATAACCACTACGCTACCAGAGCTCCTTTTATAGAGGACATAAAATGACTTATAGTTTACAGACCACATTTATAATAGAAGTCAATTTCAACATTTTCAGAACGTCACAAATTCGTGTCATGAGTTCAACTTCAGTACAATCTTTTTTTAGAAAGAACAATGGTATTTACAATTAGTTTTTCTTTATGTCTAGATAGTTCTTTGTCAGTGAATCAAAATCCAAAATGAAATGTATTCAATTAAATAATAACCAGATCAAATTAAATAAACATTTTAAATCAAAATATTTTCAAACAATGTTTAATTTTACAAACATTTTTGTGGGCTTACATATGGTTCTTGTGTGGTGTCATGTGTTGTAAATGGAAGTATATTCTGTTAACAAAATAATATTATTTTTTAAAAAGTATGCAGTATAAATTTAAAGTGTTTTCTCAGTTGATAGCATGAAGTATTTTGTCTTTCAAAAGTATCTTCCAGAATAAACATGTATTTAATAAATAATCTTATTGCAAAATTTTGCATATGAACATTTATTAAAATACATTTTCTCTATTTCTATTTTGATGGATTCTTGATGGTTGGCTTGTTTCGTTGTGTCAGGGATTAGGGGCTACAACTCAAAGAATTCCAAGAGTATTTACATTTATTTAAAGCAACATTCACATTTTTAATTTTGTTGCAATTCAGAAATGACCACCAGGTGGAGATAGTGCTCTACTTAAAAGAAAACTGCTTGGCTAACACGCCCTTGTGCATACATCCCCCATTAAGTTCCTGCTCATTTTTAAACATGTATTCTAACTTTTCTTTCTTTTTTTTTTTTAAATGAACTATAGTTCATTATTTTCATTTATTTGCCACTTATAGTTTCCAAAACTTCCAGTATTAATATACTGATTTTTGACATCAAATGAGAGCTCAAAAATTGAAAATACCAGGGGAAGAAAAAGTTAAGGGATTGTCAGAGTTCTTTCTGTTTCTTCATGTTGCTGTGCTCAGTTATGGCTAGTTTTCAAACATGATTTACTTTATATTATGCTATTTTATGAAGAATTTATACTTCTTTATGATTTCCTCAAATATAATTATGGCGCTGTAGGATAAGCATGAGACTGCTAAAGAGAAGGTCAGCGGTTCAGACCACCATCCACTCCTCGGAAAAATTATACAGGGTCGCTATGAGTTGGAACTCGATGGCACTTAACAGCAACACAGAGTATTAGAGTATTTACTTTCAGATTCTTAATTTGTCAAAACAAATGAACTTTTCTATTTCCTGATTATGTTTCAGTCTGAACTTTAAACACCAACGTTTTCCAAAATGTAATCATTTAAAAGCTTTCTCAGTTTCCACATATATAACACTGTTGTTGCAATGAATCCAGTTTTAACAGTAAATTTTTTATTTTTATTAATACAACTTTAAAAAATGTGACAGAAGCTAAATGTATTTCATCTAAAATAATATGTCCACATACGAGCAGATATTGGTATAAGAGAAGTCTTCAAAAAGTTTCTGGAGAAATTCCATAATCTGTTCATTTTATTTTCCCACAAGCCTCATGAAGCCCCTTTGTATCATTTTAAAAGTCTCCATTACATTCCCAATTTCAGAGATAACTAGTGGGAAGCACAGCTACACCCCATGTTTGATGACAAAATGCTTACTTTGCTGTGGCTAAAGGAAAATTAAAACCAGTTCTGGCTCATGGCAAAGCCCTGTGTGTCAGAGTAGGACTGTGTTCCCCCCGGGATTACAATGACTGATGTTTCAGAAATGAATCTCTAGGCTTTATTGCCAGACTGGACTAGATCTTTCAACCTTAATATTAGCAACAGAGCACACTAACAGTTTGTACTACCTAGGAACTGCTATAGGAAAATCTGTTGTGTTGTTGTGTACTGTCAATTCCCACTCATAGTGACCCTATGAAATTGCCACACAGGTTTTGCTAGGCTAAGCCATTTGAACAGCTAGGTCAGCAGTTCAAAGTTACCAGCTGCTCCCTGGAAACCCTATATAAGGTCACTATGGGTCAGAACCAAATCAACGGCACTATAATCATTACAGTAGCAGATAACCAGTTCTATTCTCTCGCAGAGTGACTGGTGGGATCTCAGGAAGGACCTTTAGTTTGCAGGTGGGCATTTAACCATTGTGCCACCACAGCTTTTAAGGCAAATTACATGAGATTATGTCATGGAAACTTTGGAATTACCACGCAGTCTTGTTAAAATATCTACCCAGCGCTTTGTTCAATCTCCTTCACTTTAAGTAGGATACTCTCGTGTGTCTTAAAAATTGCTCATTTAATAAAATGTTGAAAGCTCACTGTATATTAACATTTATCCATATAATTATTGTTGTTGTTGTGTGCCGTTGAGTCAGTTCCAAGTCATAGCAACCCTGTATAGGATTTCTGAGGAGCAGCTGGTGAGTTTTAACCACCGACCTTGCAGTTCAAACTGACCTTGAGATCCAGTGGTTATCCTAAGGTGACACACCATTAGTAACTCTTTAAATTAACAATGTAAGCCCAAAAAAACGAGAGAGTAAAGACACTTGGTTAATGATCATCATCTTTGTAAAGTTATCAGACTAATTGGCCCATGATGGCAAATTAATTAATTATCTTGCCTAATAATATCTAGTCCATTAGTAACAGATTTCATTTTTTAAAACTCATCTGATAAGTGGATAGAAATTGTTTAGTGTTAACATTGAAATGCAATAGTTCTCCTATAAAATTTTCTTTAAAATTTAAAAATTTCATTGAAAAATCATATTTATCTTTCAATTCCATTTTTCTACGAACTTTTTGAATCCCCTTAGATATTTAACTAGGCTCTCTGTTTATTTCAAGTAGTATTTTGTCCTTCCTCATCATTTTATGATGATAAAGGCTCATTTTGTTTTTGTTTTTGTTTTTAATTGTTGTTTATTTGTTTATTGCACTCAGACATCTTCCAGTAATTTTATGGTATTTGAATATATTTTGTTTGATTAATGTAAGTTTTAATAGTAGATCACACTATGTAGATACCCCTGAAATAAATTCACTGAAGCAAAAATAGAAATATATTTGTCTAAATGACTCTTCTAATATTAACAGTCAAGTAGTACCAAGGGAGAGAAAAGAATATTATGTAAGAAAGAATGATCCGTTCAAAAGGGTGGCTTTGGCCCAGGAGGAAGCTCGTAAGGCAGGAAGGGAAAGGAAAGAAGGCTGAAAGAAAATGGGGGACACAGGGAGCTTGTGGGAAGAGTGTTGTTACATTGTGGGGACTTCAGTCAATGTCATGAAACTAATAGTGTGTAAACAGTTGAATGGAAAATTGATTTGCTGTAAA